AACAAGAAAATGTAATCAGTGATTCTTAGCGTATGAATTGTTGAAAGTTACCTGTTACTGATTGAACAAGTCAGTGAGTTAAATTTTCATAGTAAACAATGACAACTTTTTCTATGTTGTTTCTTGGTAAAAAATAAAGTTCCTTTAGTTGATATTAACAATAAATGTTTTCATTAGAAGTAACCATGGATACTTCAAACATCCAAGAGAATAGTATGTAATTTACTTAATATTCTTGAAACAAATGTGCCAAATAAATATGCGTATATAATTGGTTTTTTAAAATACCGCATTATTCTTATTAAATAGTTTAATATGAGATATAATAAATACATTTTTAATTAATATTACATTTATATTTCTTGTTTAGGAAATTTGTGTAAGGTTTACTAAACAAAATTTGGGAATAATTATTTCGAAAAAACCAATTATTAAAGAGTTAATTACTATAGTTAGAATAGCCTTTTGAATTTTGTATATTTTTCTACCATTACACCTATTATTAAAAACAAATCACTTTTATTATTTTTAATACTGTCAATCTCTTTGATTATTAATATATTTAGTTTTAGTTTTTATTTAATATATATATATATATATATATATATATATATAGTCATATACGCATTTTAATAATATTTTTTTTACTTATTGAGGGGCGTCAATTGATCTATCTAGTGTTGTCAAAACGGGTAACTCACCACCACGAGATCGTCACTTAGTGAGTCAATTCAACTAGGTTTATTTATTAATTAACGAGCCAAAAAAATTTGAATCCACCACAAATTGTGAGTTAAATAAATAAGTTGACTCATTGACATACTTAATTATAGTTTTTTTTAAATCTATAACAATTTTTTTTTGCAATTCAAATCTAAATAAATTTCACTCTATTAAACTCTAAAGGCAATTCAAAATAAAAAAAAGTACCAAACAATTCAAATATAATCCAAAAGCAAGCACAAAAATCGAACATATAAGTTTCTAAACTTGATCATTTTTTTGTCACTTATCCATTTATAATATTAGAGATAAATTCATAATATTTTTCTCTCTTGGAAACACATTTTTCTTTATCGTCATCTACAACACAATAAAAAAAAGTATTAACTAATAATATTGAAACATAAATTAATAAATAATTAAATTAAATTAAGTGAGTTGATGAGTCAACCCAGCTCACCACGGGTTCAACTCAGATGAGCCGAGTTCTAAGTGGATCATGTTGAAAATTGACCATTGTAAAAAAATGACATTTTTTTCAAACCCAATCTAACCCAAACACGAGATGGATGTCAACTTTTTATATGAATGTTGACATTCCGTGGATGTCAATGCAAAAAGGAGTAATTTGTGTAATGGAATGTTTATTGAGGTATTTCAAAAAAGATGAAATTTTTAAGACAGGTGGCGACACCCACTAGCCACCAGCGACAACAAAGACAAAGTAGGAAAAGACTCAAACAACCTACTCTAATACAAACTTGAGATTGAAAGATAAAATAATTTTAGAAGACTTAATTGATCTTATAATTTTTTATTTATAAGAATAAACGGATAAGAGTAAACACAATATAATCATGATAAATAAAATAATCTTAAACACAATATAATAATGATAAAAAAGTAAATATTCTAACAAGATCCAAATTAACAAATTTTAACCAATAACTTTAAAACAATAAATTTATAAGTATGTTTTCTTTTTAAGTATTTTTTTTAAGAACAACCAATTTCTTTTTTATCTATCTTAATTGTGATTTTCATTTAATGGAATACATCAAATTCTGAATGAGGTGAACATGCATCATTTATCAATGCAAATTAGCAAAGACGAAAATCCAAAAATATCAAAATCACAATCGTCCCTTGAAAATGTTATTTCATATACAAATAAATTTTACTTAGGTTACTGATGAATATTTAATCTAAATTATATTTCAAATTAATCATTTCTAACACAACTCAATTTAAAAAAAAAATCAAATCTTATATGACAAAATCCAAAAAGAATAAGAATTCACACTCCGACTACATTAATTATCGTTTTTAATTGATTTAAGCCTTTCGCTTTCCTCTAAATTAAAAAAAAAAATGTATAAAATGTAAGGGTGTCTCTGGCATATTTATTTTCCTCACTTATTCACTAATATTTCATAATTTAAATTATTTCTGGTCAGAAGTGGCAATATTAATTATAATTTATTTACATAAGATACTCCAAGTAGTGAAGCACATAAATGACTGTTTACTAATATTTTTCCTACTAATTTTATTTAATTCTGAACAATTTAATCCGCAAAGAAAATTAATTTTGGATTTTCCTGTTTTGTAACTTTCCAATAAATATTTCAGTTTACATTTATAGATTATCCAATAATTTAAATAAGGAAAAGTTGAATATTTTCTTAAAATAAAAAAAAATGAAATCGAAATAATTTGTTATTATTATCACTATACTAGTACAATATTAGTTCATGCTAATTCTTTGTCTGGGCTTGTTACTATATTATAAAATATTAAAATTTTTATCAATATATTATAAAATCCTTTTCATAATTTGCTCAATATATTATAAAATCCTTTTTATAATTTTCTCAATATATTATAAAATCAAATACTGAAAACAATTGAAATGTTGAAGCGAGAATAAAAAAAAATTGTATCTAGATGCCCGTCTTTCTTCTATTTCATTATTTCTTCTGATTTTCTTTTTTCATATTTTGTCAAACTTTTCTGTGAATATTTCATTGAATTTAAAAAAATTTACATAAAAATTGATAGAAAATCGATTTAACGAAATTTTAAAAAATTTATAATTTTATTTACAAAAAATATTAAAATTTTTCACAACAATATATCATATATTCAAATTATTTTATTGTCGAATATTCGTGTAAGATAATTAAAGTTGATTTTCTTCATGTTGTAAATTATTGAAAATTTTCTTTTTCTCTTATATTACAGCTAATAACTTTGTATTTAAATAAATAACATAAAATAATTATAATTTTCTTAATCACTAGTAATTCAATATTGTTCGAAAAATTACACGCTCTTTACATTTGAGAATCATTCAATAAATAAATGAACAGCAAGTTATACAAATAATATAAAAATTCATCTAATGAGAACAAAAGAATAATTTTATGTGAAAATTTGTAAAACACATGCACTAATATAGTTCAAGTACATTCTTACCTTCTAATAAAAGAATTTAACCCAAACTTAATATCATTATAATGCAAGAGTATAAGAAAAATCAAATACAAATAGATTGATTTTTATCCCAACAAGAAACATAAAAGATTTATAATCTATTATATAATTATCAATACTCACCATATATGATCTTAGATGATGTGTGACTTTTTAAGACATTTTTTTTATTATCTCAACAAAAATTGTGTAGGTTATCAATGAATGAAGATCTTGTAAACTTTAAGTTTTATCATCTTTTATGGTTAGTGTAGGATAATCTTGTCATGTCAAATATCTTATTTATAGTTGATATATGTTATTTAAGTGAATCAAATCATAATATTTAATCTAAAATATTAAATATAGAAAGGGTTGCACTTTAATTAGTATTTTTAATTTTTACAGTTTTTTTTTCTTTTGTTCATTTTGTCTCGAGGGATTGAGAGGTAGATTTTAAACCTAACTCAATAATAGAAAACCGGTTTGTAAGATATAATTTGCACACTTATATATATTTTAAATTCGTTATATCTTTAATCAATGTGAAATCTTTAACATAACTCCCACGTCCAAACATATAAATATTGAGTGTGAAAAAAGAAACATTAATGTGACGTCTGATAGCGAGTGTACATGATAAATCTAATAAACAAAAAAAGGATAATCTTAAATTCATAGTTTTGATATCAATGTTAAGAAGTCAACTTTAAATTTAATTTAATTTTATAAAACTTTGTAAAGTGAACTTTATACTTATATTATATATGTAAATACATTTTATCTATTAGTTGATGTGAATACTTTATAGAAGACTTGCCATGAATGTTTGATAGGTTTTATTTGACTTAAAGTGAAGCTTTTGGTTTTATTACTTTGACACTGGAGAACATAAATAATATAATATATGAATAAATAATATAGAATATAAACAAATAATAGTAAAATTAGCTTAAAAGAATTTAAACTTTTCTTTATTCGAATGTTATTTTATTCTCAAATTCATAACAACCATACATTTCTATTTTGAATTTTGCCACGTCACTCTAAGCACTAATGGTATGACATCGGGGTTATTCCATCTTAATTATAGCTAATAATAACAAAATACAAACAATTATTTAAGTTTAACATATAGTTTTGATCCATAAAAATATGATTTTATTTATCCTACTTTATAAAAAAATATTATTTTATCCTTAGAAGAAATACTAAACGCATATTTGTGATCGATCAGTTATAATTATTTCATGTGACTTTTAAGGCGATCATTATAATTAGTATGATTAGCGTTTTAATTAAGTTAATAAAATGTAACCAACACTGTAAAAGAAGATAAGGCTCAACACAGGAACAATTAGTCAGCTGTTAGCTTATTTTCTAAGCAATGAAGTGACAATATTCTAAGTTGATGTTTATCAGTATAATTTGATGTCAAAGCAGAGAAACAAGACAAAAAAAATTGAATAAAGAATCTAAATTGTTCTCGATATGAAACATTTCATGTAACTGATTAATTGATAAAGCATAGAGAAGAATAGTGGGTGGTGCATATGTTGTTTGATCAAGAACAGAGTTCTATATTCTTGAAAAGGGATGAAGATACTAAACCTGAACAGTAACATATCGTGCAGTAGTTGATTGGATTGTCGAAGTATTTATTAGTAGCTTGGTTGGTTTCCATTCCCAACCCAAAGCTAAGAAAATTAACACTGGTTTTCTGGTTTTAAGGTATCTGCAGAAACAAGATGATGTGGCGTATCAGGAAAACATGTGTTGAAAAACACAACTCTCGGGGTAATATGGTGAGGAAGACAGAAGAAGTGGTTGTGATAAAAAAAGTCAATGCTTCAAATAAAAAACAAGAGAGAAAACCACCAAGTAAAGGTATTAAAGATTATCCCTCTCATGCACCTCTTTCTTCTCTTCACAAATTTCAATTCACTTTTGTTCATTATTGTTAACTTTGCATGCTCATGTTTAAACAATACCATCATATTCTTTTTGTTTTCTCTCACTCATTTGGATTTAACAATACTTTTCACTTTTCACTTTTCTTACTATTTTTTTTTATCAATAATGTTATGATAACACATATTAATATTTATTTGACATATATGAGATAAAATAATTATAAAAAAAATAAACTTTTATGTTTATAAAAAAAATGAAAAATATATTGTTAATGATTCTTATTATTTTTGTTTTGTGAGGAAAGGAATCTGACCAATAGATAAGTTGTTTCAAAATAGATATCCCACTTAAGATTATGTAATTGTAAATACATGATTTGGGTGAACTAAAGCATCAATTTCTTGACTTGTTCAACAAAAGTTCTTATAAATATTCTTCTTTTATGAACGTATTATAACTCTACATGCACGTGACTCATCAAATTTTATTTGCCTTTTATTTTGGTCCTTCAAATGAAATGCATCATTGTCAAAAGCTTTAAGAATTCTAGATTAAGCGTGTTAGAATTTGAGATAGACAATATGATTGTTTATCAAATTTATTTTAAACTATATATCCTTGATTTTTGAAATGTAGATTAAGTGTTCTAAAATTTATTTCTCTTGGTTAGAGAAAACATTTTTTTTCCGACAAATACAATCGTCTTGTTATATATATATATATATATATATATATATATATATATATATATATGGCTAGAATATTGTTTGACCAATAATAAATATCACAAAAATAGTTTGTGAATTGTTAAAGGAATTTTTTAGTACAAAAAAAAGTAATAGAAAAGTAATTTTAAGTTTAACTCAGTATGAGAGTAGTCCAATAGCGAATGAAATAGAAAGTCTATATAAGTTTTTATAACCTGGTTTTATGAGATTGAGTTAGGTTTAAAGTGAAGAAATTTTTCAAAGAAATTTAGGTTTATGAATTGTCACAATTCTTTTAATAAACTAATTTTTTTTTTAAAGATTATAATTGTTGTCTCGTATGTTATTGGAATGATCTAAATAAAGAAAGTATGATTTTCGACTGAAATAAATTAAATGTAAATACTACGTGAACTTAACAAGACGAAAATTTAAATATATCAAAATTACAATAATAAACTCTTGAAAGATATTATATACAAACAAAATTTACTTAATACAATACTAGGGATTGAATTTTGAATGACGGTTAAAATAGTATGTAACAACGATTTTTTAAAATCATCGTTATTTTAACTCTTATTAAAAATTTAATAATGAATAAAGCCGTCTTTTAGGAATAGAATATGTAAATAAGAACTTTACAATAGAAAATATTGGAGGAGAAATCTGATTTTACTATATTTTTCCTCTTCTAACATGATTAAGACCACTAATTAAAGTTTAATTCCTTAAATTATTAATTCTTTGATTTATAATTGTTAAAAAATCAGCTCAATATATAGTTTATTGGTTTTGATATTTGAACAGGTGGCTTTTCAAAAACAAAGGATATTGCGGTTGTAAAGGGTAGTGATGCGAAGGTTTCAAAAACAAAGGAAATTGAGGTTGTAAAGGTTAGTGATACTGAAGATACAACTTCTTTGGAACTTGAAGCTGATGATACAAATTCTGATTCCTCAGAAGCTGAAGATATGAACTCTGATGAATCAGAAACTGAATATATGACTGCTGAGAAATCTGAAACTGAGAATATAAATTCTGAGGAATCATCAGAAGAAGTTGAGGATTCAGATGATGAGCCACCAAGGTATGTTCACATGTTCACAACAACTTAACCAAACGAAAATCGTAACTATTGTTGAAGAAGAAAAAAGAAAAAAGAAATGTTCATCAATAACAAGATACTCAAGCATCTTTTGAAAGAATTATGCTATGGTGGTTGTTCTTCTCATTGACTTTTGAGTTGAGTTTGTTTTCTATATATTATCTTTAAGTAATTCATAATTATAGATTATACACTAGTGCAAAAAAGACTTTAACGTCTGATCTCGACGCGACGTTTTTATAGGAGATGTTAATGGAACGGCGGATAGCACAGGTCAGACGTCTATATAGACGTCGGACAATATATATCAGACGTCTGCATAAACGTCTGTCTGGGTGACAACCGACGTCTAAGCCACTGGAACGTGAGTAGCCACTGTAAGCCATTGGACGTCTGTATGTGCACTGACAGACGTCAATAGACGTTGGACAATACCATAACAGACCACTACTGGGTGTTTTTTTTAAAATTAATTTATTTTTACAATAAAACCACACCTAAAAAACAGAAAATTGTCTCAAAACAATAAAATATAATATATATATATATATATATATATATATATATATATATATATATATATACACGTTTCAAGTTAACAAAATACTAAAAAACAATCCAAAACCTAAACTATCAAAAGTTAAAGTTAAACTAAATGTAAATGTTCAACAACAATAACAAATCTTCCTAGGTACATCTTTGAAGATAAGTTGCCCACTCTTGTCTTATCTTCTTAATTGTGTCTTCTGTATAGGAGATGTACTCTTGAAGCGTTGCAAAATGAAGAAAGATTCATTATGTTTGCATATGTTCAAAGATGAATTTTATTTTTAATGTATTGAAGGTAAGAATCATTACCTCAATCCAGTCATCTATAATGGCAGTTCGAATGATGATCTTAATCCAAGACATCACATAGTAGTCACATTCTCATGAATCTAGCTACTTGTTACACTAAAATGACAAACTAAATATTCAAGCATTTAGACCAAAATGATGGTCTTAATCTAGCTACTTGTTACCCCAAAATTATCTTCCCCAACATCACGTATCATGTCCTCTAAATGATCACTCAACCATTCTTCCACATAATTCGTTCCTCGTGACGTGGTAGACTGGTCCAATACTTCTTCATGCCAAGTCCAAACGGTATAAGTTCTCATTATGCCGAACATGAAAAGATGATCACGCATATTGCTTGAGTCTTGGAGTATTTGATTAAGACAACAAACACAAGGACAAAAATATGTCCCATTCACAAACTTTGCATTTTGTTCAACATATTCCAAGAACTCCGAAACACCCTTCTCATATTCTTCACTGATGCGACGTTCATTCATCCATCTTCGATCCATACTATGTACATACTTCATCAGTTTCAATTTTTTAACTCTCACAAGGTTAGGCCCTACCCATTCAGAAAAATTATTTTTCATAATTTGCTAAGTCACGTGCAAAGAAGTCTAACATGATAAATTTGATAAGATTTCGACAACATTTCGCATTGATCTTCGAAATACACAAAATGAGAGTAGTAAGTGATGACCATAATCAAATATGCATCCGGAAAACAACAGAAATAATCTGAACTGAAATTTTATCAATCTTATCCATAAACTCCAATGTACAAGTTATAGCAAATTATGAAAATTAATTTTTCTAAACTTTCCAATCAGACAATTCAAAATTTAATACAAACAATTAAAAGATTAATCGTTTGTGTTAAATTTCAAACGGAAACTAAGTTTCACTCAATGATTTGATACTTATAATCTAACATGCCAATCATAATAACACAACAAAACTTTATCACATGCATATTCAAAAGCCAATAACATGCATACCTAAAAGTCAATAACATGCATACACAAAAACCAATAACATGCATACACAACATCCAATGACATACATATATCCAAAAGCCAATAACATGCATATATCCAAAAGCCAATAACATGAATATCCAAAAGCCAATAACATGCATAACCAAAAGCCAATGGCAATTGAACAGTCACTTTTCGCAGTCCATTTGGTGTCCAGGAGGGGGGCTGACGTTTAAATAGCCTATAAACGTCGGAGTGGCGGGATCGGACATCTAAATGACATCAAAAATTAACTTTTTGGATTCTGGGCTGACCCTTTAGGCGTCTGATATGGGTGGTCGACTATAGACGTAAGCCCCCCTGCACCCCGACGTTTATAACGAATAAATAATTAATTTTTTTACTTTTTCGTATCTTTTTGGTGTCCATTTGGAGGAGCTGACGTGTATGAGTAGTTAGACGTTGGTGCCCCCATAACCGACGTTTAAATACTTGTTCTACTTACGAAAATGCCACCAGTCATTTTTTAAGTTGGATATTCAGGAGTCGAATGTCTAAACGGTGACGTGAAAGACTTTTTCTACACCAATGATATAGCCTTTATTTTTTCAGAAAAATAGTAATTATAGGAGAAGAATATAAAGAAAAGAATTTTTTTTGTATGAATGCATAAAGGAGTAATTTGTCTATGGAGAGGTGTGTTATATGGTTCATAATTTTTTCTTATCTTTTTATATGAATGCAGACGTCCCGTGGATTCCACTTCAAAAAGAAGTAATTTGTCTATGGGGAGGTTGTCATAAGGTTCATAATTTCTTTGACATCTTTATTAATGAAAAAAATCTTTAAGGTTAATTTTTATATGAATGCAGCTCTCTCGCGGATTTGGATATAAAAAGGAGTAATAATTTGTATGTTGATGAAAGGTATGTCATAAGATTCATAATTTTTTCTTATCTTTATTAATGAAAAAAAAATTCTTAAGATCAACTTTTTATATGAATGTAGGGTTCACTTCAGTATTCAGGGGTTGAATTATGGAGGGGTATGTTATAAGTTTCATCATTTTTTCTTATCTTTTATAAATGAAAAAAAAATTAAGGTCAACAGTTTACTTGAATGTAGCCACCCAAAGATATTCAATCGAAGGATAAGGGAATTTTCAATGCTGATGAAAGGTATGTCATAAGATTCATAATTTTTTCTTATCTTTATTAATGAAAAAAAAAATTCTTAAGATCAACCTTTTATATGAATGTAGGGTTCACATCAGTATTCAGGGGTTGAATTATGGAGGGGTATGTTATAAGCTTCATCATTTTTTCTTATCTTTTATAAATGAAAAAAAAAATTAAGGTCAACCGTTTACTTGAATGTAGCCACCCAAAGATATTCAATCGAAGGATAAGGGAATTTTTTATGGACAGGTAAAATTATGTAAAGTATATATTCTAATGTGATTATCAACAACAAAGTAGTGTAATTAATAATTGACAATTGATTCTCTTTTTCTTTGTTGTTTTGTTGTTACAATCAGAGACAGAGACTCAAGTAACTATACGTGTGAATATTCACGGTTACGGCCTACCGAAGGAGAATTTCTGTTCCTGTTAATATGTAGCCATAAACTACAATCAATGACACTAGTTTAATTATAATAAAATACAAACTCAAGAGAGCTTTGCAAACTTATCTGTATTCTCCTAAATAATTCAAGGTTTTAATGTTGTTGTTAAATGTCAATTGACCACTAACCTAATTTGGATGGTTGTTGGTTATGTGGTATAATTATATGTGTGCTTCTATGTATGATTGTTATATTATCTTGAATAACTTTTGAGAGTGTTCTTCTTTTCCCACATGCATGCACTCAACGAAACCTTTTTGCCTTTATTTTGGCACGGATCGGTTATAGGTCCTAGAATTTATTAAAGGATTATTTTTCTCAAAGATACTATTATATGGTACTTTAGAAAGGGGATATTTTGACAAAACATTATTTAGTATGAGGAAAACTTTGTTCTTTACCCCACATACAATGTTAATATTAAGTCTTATCAATGGATGAAGATCCTGAGAACTTTAAGTTTTATCATCTTTTACAGTGTAGGATAATCTTGTCATGTCAAATATCTTATTTATAGTTGATATCAGTTATTTAAGTGAATCACATCATAATATTTAATCTAAAATGTTAAATATAGAAAGGGTTGCACTTTAATTAGTATTTTTAATTTTTACAGTTTTCTTCTCTTTTGTTCATTTTGTCTCAGAGGAATTGAGAGATAGATTTTAAACCTAACTAAATAATAGAAAACCGGTTTGTAAGATATAAATTGCACACTTATATATTTTAAATTCATTATATCTTTAATCAACGTGGAAACATATAAATATTGAGTGAAAAAAGAAACATTAGTGTGATGTCTGATAGTGAGTGTACATGATAAATTTAATAAACAAAAAAAGGATAAACTTGAATTCATAGTTTTGATATCAATGTTAAGAAGTCAACTTTAAATTTAATTTAATCTTATAAAATTTTGTAAAGTGAAGTTTATACTTATATTACATATTGTAAATATATTTTATCTTTAGTTGATGTGAATACTTCATAAAAGACTTACCATGAATGTTTGATAGGTTTTATTTGACTTAAAGTGAAGGTTTTGGTTTTATTACTTTGAAACTGGAGAACATAAATAATATAATATATGAATAAATAATATAGAATATAAACAAATAATAGTAAAATAAGCTGAAAAGAATTTAAACTTTTCTTTATTCGAATGTTATTTTATTTTTAAATTCATAACAACCATACATTTCTATTTTGAATTTTGCCACGTCACTCTAAGCACTAATCGGTATGACATCGGGGTTATTCCATCTTAATTATAGCTAATAATAACAAAATACAAACAATTATTTAAGTTTAACATATAGTTTTGATCCATAAAAATATGATTTTATTTATCCTACTTTATAAAAAAATATTATTTTATCCTTAGAAGAAATACTAAACGTATATTTGTCATCGATCAGTTATAATTATTTCATGTGACTTTTAAGGCGATAATTATAATTAGTNATAAAATATAATATATATATATATATATATATATATATATATATATATATATATATACACGTTTCAAGTTAACAAAATACTAAAAAACAATCCAAAACCTAAACTATCAAAAGTTAAAGTTAAACTAAATGTAAATGTTCAACAACAATAACAAATCTTCCTAGGTACATCTTTGAAGATAAGTTGCCCACTCTTGTCTTATCTTCTTAATTGTGTCTTCTGTATAGGAGATGTACTCTTGAAGCGTTGCAAAATGAAGAAAGATTCATTATGTTTGCATATGTTCAAAGATGAATTTTATTTTTAATGTATTGAAGGTAAGAATCATTACCTCAATCCAGTCATCTATAATGGCAGTTCGAATGATGATCTTAATCCAAGACATCACATAGTAGTCACATTCTCATGAATCTAGCTACTTGTTACACTAAAATGACAAACTAAATATTCAAGCATTTAGACCAAAATGATGGTCTTAATCTAGCTACTTGTTACCCCAAAATTATCTTCCCCAACATCACGTATCATGTCCTCTAAATGATCACTCAACCATTCTTCCACATAATTCGTTCCTCGTGACGTGGTAGACTGGTCCAATACTTCTTCATGCCAAGTCCAAACGGTATAAGTTCTCATTATGCCGAACATGAAAAGATGATCACGCATATTGCTTGAGTCTTGGAGTATTTGATTAAGACAACAAACACAAGGACAAAAATATGTCCCATTCACAAACTTTGCATTTTGTTCAACATATTCCAAGAACTCCGAAACACCCTTCTCATATTCTTCACTGATGCGACGTTCATTCATCCATCTTCGATCCATACTATGTACATACTTCATCAGTTTCAATTTTTTAACTCTCACAAGGTTAGGCCCTACCCATTCAGAAAAATTATTTTTCATAATTTGCTAAGTCACGTGCAAAGAAGTCTAACATGATAAATTTGATAAGATTTCGACAACATTTCGCATTGATCTTCGAAATACACAAAATGAGAGTAGTAAGTGATGACCATAATCAAATATGCATCCGGAAAACAACAGAAATAATCTGAACTGAAATTTTATCAATCTTATCCATAAACTCCAATGTACAAGTTATAGCAAATTATGAAAATTAATTTTTCTAAACTTTCCAATCAGACAATTCAAAATTTAATACAAACAATTAAAAGATTAATCGTTTGTGTTAAATTTCAAACGGAAACTAAGTTTCACTCAATGATTTGATACTTATAATCTAACATGCCAATCATAATAACACAACAAAACTTTATCACATGCATATTCAAAAGCCAATAACATGCATACCTAAAAGTCAATAACATGCATACACAAAAACCAATAACATGCATACACAACATCCAATGACATACATATATCCAAAAGCCAATAACATGCATATATCCAAAAGCCAATAACATGAATATCCAAAAGCCAATAACATGCATAACCAAAAGCCAATGGCAATTGAACAGTCACTTTTCGCAGTCCATTTGGTGTCCAGGAGGGGGGCTGACGTTTAAATAGCCTATAAACGTCGGAGTGGCGGGATCGGACATCTAAATGACATCAAAAATTAACTTTTTGGATTCTGGGCTGACCCTTTAGGCGTCTGATATGGGTGGTCGACTATAGACGTAAGCCCCCCTGCACCCCGACGTTTATAACGAATAAATAATTAATTTTTTTACTTTTTCGTATCTTTTTGGTGTCCATTTGGAGGAGCTGACGTGTATGAGTAGTTAGACGTTGGTGCCCCCATAACCGACGTTTAAATACTTGTTCTACTTACGAAAATGCCACCAGTCATTTTTTAAGTTGGATATTCAGGAGTCGAATGTCTAAACGGTGACGTGAAAGACTTTTTCTACACCAATGATATAGCCTTTATTTTTTCAGAAAAATAGTAATTATAGGAGAAGAATATAAAGAAAAGAATTTTTTTTGTATGAATGCATAAAGGAGTAATTTGTCTATGGAGAGGTGTGTTATATGGTTCATAATTTTTTCTTATCTTTTTATATGAATGCAGACGTCCCGTGGATTCCACTTCAAAAAGAAGTAATTTGTCTATGGGGAGGTTGTCATAAGGTTCATAATTTCTTTGACATCTTTATTAATGAAAAAAATCTTTAAGGTTAATTTTTATATGAATGCAGCTCTCTCGCGGATTTGGATATAAAAAGGAGTAATAATTTGTATGTTGATGAAAGGTATGTCATAAGATTCATAATTTTTTCTTATCTTTATTAATGAAAAAAAATTTCTTAAGATCAACCTTTTATATGAATGTAGGGTTCACTTCAGTATTCAGGGGTTGAATTATGGAGGGGTATGTTATAAGTTTCATCATTTTTTCTTATCTTTTATAAATGAAAAAAAAATTAAGGTCAACAGTTTACTTGAATGTAGCCACCCAAAGATATTCAATCGAAGGATAAGGGAATTTTCAATGCTGATGAAAGGTATGTCATAAGATTCATAATTTTTTCTTATCTTTATTAATGAAAAAAAAAATTCTTAAGATCAACCTTTTATATGAATGTAGGGTTCACATCAGTATTCAGGGGTTGAATTATGGAGGGGTATGTTATAAGCTTCATCATTTTTTCTTATCTTTTATAAATGAAAAAAAAAATTAAGGTCAACCGTTTACTTGAATGTAGCCACCCAAAGATATTCAATCGAAGGATAAGGGAATTTTTTATGGACAGGTAAAATTATGTAAAGTATATATTCTAATGTGATTATCAACAACAAAGTAGTGTAATTAATAATTGACAATTGATTCTCTTTTTCTTTGTTGTTTTGTTGTTACAATCAGAGACAGAGACTCAAGTAACTATACGTGTGAATATTCACGGTTACGGCCTACCGAAGGAGAATTTCTGTTCCTGTTAATATGTAGCCATAAACTACAATCAATGACACTAGTTTAATTATAATAAAATACAAACTCAAGAGAGCTTTGCAAACTTATCTGTATTCTCCTAAATAATTCAAGGTTTTAATGTTGTTGTTAAATGTCAATTGACCACTAACCTAATTTGGATGGTTGTTGGTTATGTGGTATAATTATATGTGTGCTTCTATGTATGATTGTTATATTATCTTGAATAACTTTTGAGAGTGTTCTTCTTTTCCCACATGCATGCACTCAACGAAACCTTTTTGCCTTTATTTTGGCACGGATCGGTTATAGGTCCTAGAATTTATTAAAGGATTATTTTTCTCAAAGATACTATTATATGGTACTTTAGAAAGGGGATATTTTGACAAAACATTATTTAGTATGAGGAAAACTTTGTTCTTTACCCCACATACAATGTTAATATTAAGTCTTATCAATGGATGAAGATCCTGAGAACTTTAAGTTTTATCATCTTTTACAGTGTAGGATAATCTTGTCATGTCAAATATCTTATTTATAGTTGATATCAGTTATTTAAGTGAATCACATCATAATATTTAATCTAAAATGTTAAATATAGAAAGGGTTGCACTTTAATTAGTATTTTTAATTTTTACAGTTTTCTTCTCTTTTGTTCATTTTGTCTCAGAGGAATTGAGAGATAGATTTTAAACCTAACTAAATAATAGAAAACCGGTTTGTAAGATATAAATTGCACACTTATATATTTTAAATTCATTATATCTTTAATCAACGTGGAAACATATAAATATTGAGTGAAAAAAGAAACATTAGTGTGATGTCTGATAGTGAGTGTACATGATAAATTTAATAAACAAAAAAAGGATAAACTTGAATTCATAGTTTTGATATCAATGTTAAGAAGTCAACTTTAAATTTAATTTAATCTTATAAAATTTTGTAAAGTGAAGTTTATACTTATATTACATATTGTAAATATATTTTATCTTTAGTTGATGTGAATACTTCATAAAAGACTTACCATGAATGTTTGATAGGTTTTATTTGACTTAAAGTGAAGGTTTTGGTTTTATTACTTTGAAACTGGAGAACATAAATAATATAATATATGAATAAATAATATAGAATATAAACAAATAATAGTAAAATAAGCTGAAAAGAATTTAAACTTTTCTTTATTCGAATGTTATTTTATTTTTAAATTCATAACAACCATACATTTCTATTTTGAATTTTGCCACGTCACTCTAAGCACTAATCGGTATGACATCGGGGTTATTCCATCTTAATTATAGCTAATAATAACAAAATACAAACAATTATTTAAGTTTAACATATAGTTTTGATCCATAAAAATATGATTTTATTTATCCTACTTTATAAAAAAATATTATTTTATCCTTAGAAGAAATACTAAACGTATATTTGTCATCGATCAGTTATAATTATTTCATGTGACTTTTAAGGCGATAATTATAATTAGTATGATTAGCGTTTTAATTAAGTTAATAAAATGTAACCAACACTGTAAAAGAAGATAAGGCTCAACAAAGGAACAATTAGTCAGCTGTTAGCTTATTTTCTAAGTAATGAAGTGACAATATTCTAAATTGATGTTTATCAATATAATTTGATGTCAAAGCAGAGAAACAAGACATAAAAAAAAATTGAATAAAGAATCTTTTGTTCATTATTGTTCTCTTCACAAATTTCAATTCACTTTTGCTCATTATTGTTAACTTTGCATGCTCATGTTTAAACAATACCATCATATTCTTTTTGTTTTCTCTCACTCATTTGGATTTAACAATACTTTTCACTTTTCACTTTTCTTACTATTTTTTTTTTATCAATAATGTTATGATAACACATATTAATATTTATTTGACATATATGAGATAAAATAATTATAAAAAAAAATAAAATTTTATGTTTATTAAAAAAATGAAAAATATATTGTTAATGATTCTTATTATTTTTGTTTTGTGAGAAAAGGAATCTGACCCATAGATAAGTTGTTTCAAAATAGATATCCCACTTAAGATTATGTAATTGTAAATACATGATTTGGGTGAACTAAAGCATCAATTTCTTAACTTGTTCAACCAAAGTTCTTATAAATATCCTTCTTTTATGAAAGTAATTGTGGTCTCTTGTCCAACCCTCGTAGACAATTCCCTCCTCAAGGTATTGTTAGTTCATATTTCTGTTATGTGTCATAAACATAATAGTATTATCTTTCACTTAATTACATGATTGAGTGAGGAAGTATCAAATGGTCAATATGTAACCCTCTTATCCAAAATATAAGACATATAGCATAAGAGAGACATGTACATAATATAAAATATTTTAAGGATATTACATAAACATACACAATAAATAAATAAATATATATATATATATATATATATATATATATATATATATATATATATATATATATATATATATATATATATATATATATATATATTTACAACGACATCAAAAATAAAATTTTCAGTGTCTTTCATATGCTGTTCGTGCACCTATTTCTACATTTGCTCATGTTAACACAATCATAACATATATCATGACAATAAAATTAATTGTAACTTTTGAAAATAATTTCTTGCATAACATATATAAAAATAATAATTTCATTAGCAATTCATAAACAAAGATTTTTTATAAGAACGAGAATTCTAATTCAATATCCAATATAATCCTTTCTCAAACAATAAAAATGTATATAATATGACTCAAAAGTGCTTACATAAATTTTTGATACCTTTTTATATACATAAGTTTAAAAAAACTTAAAAATCCTAAAATAAAATCCAAAGTCCAAAGCATATAAAAATAACACAAAAAGAAAATTACAGATGTAGACTTTTGCCTAATAAGGTATGTTCATGTAACGAACATAAACTTGCTCGCCCAATGAATTTAACTATAAAATTAAAATAAAATTATAATTTATTTAATTTACTAAATTATTCTTCAATTGTGCTTATGATCTTCATGTTCTTTAAGTTCTCTTCTTCATGAAACATTATAAGATTCAAGGAGATATATTTTGATCTTTGACGTTATCATAGATCCTTTTATTTGCAAACGGTCTTCCTTAAGAGTTTCTCATATATGTTCAAGAGATAATCCTATCATACCCTCTTCTTGAAGAAAATTTGTCCTTAAATTTGTATTACTTGAAGATTACTTATCATTCTCCCTTGTTTAAAGAGAATTTGACCAAAATTCTAGAAGATCATGTGCACAAACAAAAACATAAATCAAAGATATAAATATAAAATAATCAAAAATAAAAATTATACTTAAGTGATATTTAGATCCTGAAGGGAGATCCGAGTTGATAACAAGTCGACAATCAAGTTGGCAAAAAACCCAGTTAATCACGGAAGGAGCAAGCACATCGACATCCGTTTTCATTTCATCCGAAAACAAGTCAAAGAAGGAAAGGTCAAGCTGAAATATGTTGAAAGCCGAGTTCAAGTCGCAGACATATTCACTAAGCCACTGTCAACCATATTGCTGGAGAATTACAAAAAACTTATTGGAAAGAGAGATGAGAAAAGTATTTAAGTTTTAGAGGAAGATTTGTTATTAAACTTAAATTAAAAATTTATTTCTAGTTGGTTAGAATAACATTAATAGTTTTAGGTGGCAGACATCATTATTTATCTTTAGTATTTGAAAGGACAAAAAAAAACTTTTGAGCTGCTTGGCATGTAAAGACGCAAACCTTTTCCTCATAAATAATTGTATCAGGTCATTTGAAAAAAGTAGAGAAAAACTAAGTTTTTTTTCATACGTTGCCAACCTTTTGCCTTCCTGTTGCCAACAGGAGAGACAGAGCGATGATGCGACACTTGACGAGAGTGCGAACTGGTGAGAGAGAGAGAAGAAAATTCTTATGCACTTTAGGGTTTTGCACGTTACGTTAAAAAATCAGCTCAAAAGTTTATTGTTTATGATATTTGAACAGGTGGCTTTTCTTCTAAGGCAAATGCAAAGAATTTTGATGCGGAGGTTTCAAATGCAGAGGATAGTGATGTTGAAGATGTAGAGGATAGCGATGCTGAAGATACAAATTCTGAGGAATTTGAAGCTGATGATGATACAAATTCTGAGAAGTCAGAAGACGGCGTTACAAATTCTGAAGAATCTCAAGCTGAGAGTTCAAATTCTGAATCAGAAGCTGATGAAGCAGAAGATGAAGATATAAGTTCTGAGGAATCTCAAGTTGAGAGTTCAAATTCTGAAGAATCAGAAGTTGATGAAGCAGAAGATGAAGATATAGGTTCTGAGGAATCTGAAGCCCAGGATATAAATTCTGAGGAATCATCAGAAGAAGTTGAGGATTCAGATGATGAGCCACCAAGGTATGTTCACATCTTCACAACAACTTAATCAAATGAAAATAATAACTGTTGTTGAAGAAGAAAAACAAAATAAGAAAGTGTTCATAGATAACAAGATCCTCAAGCACCTTTTGAAAGAATTATGCTGTGGTGGTTGTTCTTGTCATTGACTTTTGTGATCAGTTTGTTTTCAATATATTATTTATAAGTAATTTATAATTATATTATATAGACTTTTTTTTACAGAAAAATAGCCATTAGGAGAAAAATATAAACAAAAGAATTTTTTTCTTCCTTCATTGTATGTGCACATTCTCATATTGTATGCGATTTTCATTAATTGTGTCATATGGTTCATTATTTATTCTTATCTTTATATGTCTTTTATATGAATGTAGGCCCCTCATTGATATAAGGGGCGTAATTTGTATACTGTAATGTGTGTCATTCATCATTTCTTCTTATATTTACCACTGAAAAAAAAAACTTCTTGTCAACTTTTTTGTATAAATGCAATCGTATCATGGATTTCAGTCCAGAAAGAGTAATTTATTTGTTGGAAGATGTGTTATAAGGTTTATAATTTACTTTTATTTTATTAAAGAAAAAATTCGTAAATTAACTTTTTATGTGAATATATAGACCTTGGAGGATTTTAATTCATAAAGAAGTAATTTATTTACCGAAAAGTGTGTTATAAGGTTTATAATTTTTTTTTATTAATGAAAAAGATCTTTAAAGTCAAATTTTTATATGAATCCAGATGTCTTATGGATTTTAATTCAAAAAAAAGAGTAATTTGTCTATGTTATCAGGTTCATAGTTTCTTTTATCTTTATTTTTGAAAAAAAGTTTTTAAAGTCAACTTTTTTATATGAATGCAGTCATATAGTGAATTTTAGTCAAAAAAGAGTAATTTGTTTACGCTAAGGTGTGTTATAAGGTTCATCATTTCTTCTTATTTTTATTAATGTAAAAGATCTTTAAAGTTGACTTTTTATATGAATGCGGACGTCTCAAATTTCAATCCAAAAAAGAGTAATTTGTCGTCTATGCCGATATGTGTTATAAGGTTTATAATTTTTTGTTTATCTTTATTAATGAAAAATTATTCTTAAGGTCAACTTTTTATATGAATGCAGACGTCTCGTAGATTTCAATCCAAAAAAAAAGTAATTTGTCTATGTCAAGGTGTGTTATAAGGTTTATAATTTTTGTTTATCTTTATTAATGAAAAATTATTCTTAAGGTCAACTTTTTATATGAATGCAAACGTGGATTTCAATCTAGAAAGGAGTAAACTGTTTATGGGAAGGTGTGTTATAAGATTCATAATTTCTTCTCATTTTTTAATAATGAAAAAGATCCTTAAGGTCAACTTTTTATATGAAGGCAGACGTCTCATGGATTTCAATCCAAAAAAGAGTAATTTGTCGTCTATGTCGAGGTGTGTTATAAGGTTCATAATTTTTTGCTTATCTTTATTAATGAAAAATTATTCTTAAGGTCAACTTTTTATATGAATGCAGGCGTCTTGTAGATTTCAATCCAAAAAAGAGTAATTTGTCTACGCCAAGGTGTGTTATAAGGTTTATAATTTTTGTTTATCTTTATTAATGAAAAATTATTCTTAAGGTCAACTTTTTATATGAATGCAGACGTCTTGTGGATTTCAATCTAGAAAGGAGTAAACTGTCTATGGGAAGGTGTGTTATAAGATTCATAATTTCTTGTCATTTTTTAATAATGAAAAAAACCCTTAAGGTCAACTTTTTATATGAATGCAGACGTCTCGTGGATTTCAATCCAGAAAAGAGTAATTTGTCTACGGGGAGGTGTGTTATAAGGTTCATAAATATCCTTAAGGTCATATTTTTATATGAATACAGACCTCTCGTGGATTTCAATCCAAAAAGGAGTAATTAATTTGTCTATGGGGAAGTGTGTTATAAGATTCATAATTTCTTCTCATTTTTTAATAATGAAAAAAACCCTTAGGGTCAACTTTTTATCTGAATGCAGACGTCTCGTGGATTTCAATCCAGAAAAGAGTAATTTGTCTACAGGGAGGTGTGTTATAAGGTTTATAATTTTTTCTTATATTTATTAAAAAAAAATTCTTAAGGTCCATTTTTTATATGAATGCAGACTTCTCACGGTATTTCAGTCCACAAAGAAGTGATTTGTCTAGTGATGAAAGGTGTGTAATAAGATTCATAATTTGTTTTTATCTTTTTTAATGAAAAAATTCTTTAAGGTCAACTTTTCTATAAATGCAGGGTTGACATCATAATTTTGAGGTTGAATAGAGAGGTATGTTATAAGGTTCATCATTTTTCTTATCTATTATTAATGAACAAAATCTTTAAACGTCATCTTTTTATATGAATGTAGCTACCCAAAGATATTCAATTGAAGGATAAGGAAATTTTCTACTGGGAGGTAAAATTTTTGTAAAATATATATTCTAATGTGATTATCAACAACAAAGTAGTGTAATTAGTAATTGACAATTAATTCTTTGTTTCTTTGTTGTTTTGTTGTTACAATCAGAGACAGAGACTCAAGTAATTATATGCATGAATATTCATGGTTATGGCTTGCTGAAGGATAATTTCTCTTCATGTTTATATGTAGCGATAAACTACAATCAATGAAATTAGCTTAATTATA